ACCGTACTGCTCCAGGGGTGCTCGTGCTCCAGGAGGTGCAGCTCCGGGGATGCCTAGAGACATTGGTGGTGCTGGAAATTGGGGGAGATGCCATTTGATGTGATGGCCTTGGAACTGTAGGGATACCTTCCTAGAGCTGTGTTGTTTCAAGGTGCCCCCCTAACACGGATGGCATGTGTGGGGTGGTCTTGATCTCAGTGAGAACAGTGGGATATTACCCTGGCTTCTTCAAACAAGGTCTGACCCAGGCTTTAACACAGGACCGCACCTGCACTGTCGGCTCCCAGCTCTGTCCCGTTCGCTGGACATTTTGCACTGCTTGAGTTTTTAATGCGTCGTTAACCACAAGTCAGTGCAATCCCGGATCAGACAAGACGCAGCAAGAAAGGGTGAGGAAAATACCTTTAAAACTTCCTCCAAGTCAATGTCTCCTCCTGCTGCTTTTGACCCGCCGGCTGCAGGAGGAAGAGGTGTTCACTGACCTTCAGCAGGACTCTGCCGCCTGCCCAGGCAAGCATCTCCCTTGCACACCGATGAGGAGGTGATGAGCACTCACTCTCCCAGGAAGGACGGATGCACTGCACCACACTGCAGCCTGTCAGCCCCGTGATGACCCGTGTGCCCCTTCTCTCTGTGCTCAGCCACATCAATGGCTTTACAGAGGGTCTTAGCTTGTGGGCACCCCGGTGGATTGAGCACCGTTATCCAGGCAGGATTCTGCTTGGCTCTTACCTGCAGGCAAGCGCAGGTGCCAGGCTGGCAGCGGGGGCTGCAGATCTCCTTCTCTCTTGGTGCAGGAATGGAGGGAGGAGTTAGGAGCTCAGCCCCTGTCCCTCTTCCCCACTGCAAGGCCTGGCACTGGGGCTTGAAGAAACAGGCTGGGGAGGTGGAGACTCGGCTCCCTCCTTCGTGCCTCCTGAGGGGAAGCATCCACAGGAGGCCCACGTTGTCAGGAATCCCAAACACGTAGCCAAACAGAGGTCAGTGCTGTGCAGCCCTGGATTTTTAAGCAGCAGTTAAACATCTGCATGGGAAGAGGGTCTGGAGCTCTCCTCAGAAAGAAGCACAGGACTGTGCTCAAATAGCCCAGCTCGGAGGTGCTGTCCCCCATCTCTTGCCGTCTCCCCAACCCCTCATCACACAGAGCACCAGGCACTCTGCCTGCAAGGCCCGGGTCTCTCTGGGGTGGCACAGGGCCACTCCTTGTGTCTGAGGTCATTTAATACTTCGTTTTAGGACTACTTCTGAAAAACGCAATAAGAGACCCAAATCACAAGGGGGGGGTTCTCACAGCTGTTTGTCTGGGCGACTCAGTACTACAGTGGAAATCCATGGATGGGCAGGCGAATCAGGCCTCTTCAGTTTCCCTCTCCTGCCATAAGGTTAGGATTCAGCGCACCTAACTCCAGAAGTCTTGCCTGGAAGTATCTCCACCTGGGCTAGATCCCCAGGTCCTCAGCCAGGTGGGAAGGCCTCGGCAGGGGACCATGGGCACACCTCCCTTCGTTCCACATCAGGGTAGGATGCGGAGGACCTCATGTCCCTGTGCTGACTGTGTAGGGCGTGTGGGCGACCAGCTCATAAACAGACCATGTGCACAGAACAAGCCTCTGGACAGGGAGAATGCCATGGCAATCAGCATGTTACCCAGGGAGGAATATTAGCCAGATTTGTAGAGCTTAGGGATATTGATATGGTTTAGTGGGGACTGTTAGCGTTAGGTCAGAGGTTGGACTCAACGATCTTGAGGTCTCTTCCAACCTAGAAATTCTGTGATTCTGTGATCACAAATACCTCCAGTATCGGTGAGAATATCTGCTCAAGCTCTCTGGGACTGGGTTTAGTTATCCAGTGCCCTGCTAGGAATAGGACATCCTGACAACTTCTCCAAGGTTGTCACAGAATCGTAGAATCGTAGAAACATAGGGTTGGAAAGGACAACCTTTCAAGATCAAGATCACCTAGTCCAACCGTCTTCCTATCACCAATACTACCCACTAAGCTACTAAATCCTATCTCGTTAAGACCAGCTCCATTCCAGCGAGTGGTCCTTGGAAGGTGCATTCATCACTACGCCACCTTTACCGTAGACTTCATGGACAAATGACAGCATTGCTCTGTGAACCCCCCCCACTGCCCAAACCTGCAGGACAGAGCTGAGAGGGAGCTGTAGGAGCTGGGCTGAGCTCCAGTCCTTCCCCTGGAACCACAAGAAATGGATTCCCCAAAGAAGGGACAGCAGCGTAGAACAAGATCTGGGCCACTGCTCATGGACAGTCCCTCTACAAATATCTTCCTCTGACAAAAATATATAATGGGAACGAGCATGCCGAATGCACATGTGGGGTGCCAGTCTTTTTTAGGGGTGATACAAAGAGCTGGGGAAATATTTATCATCGCAGCATGCAGGGAGCAAGCGGTTCTTCCTGAGCAGCCTCCGGCTGGGTCAGCAAGAGCAACACTGGACTGTGACGCTGTTGGTTAGCCCCGGTAGGCAGCTAAGCACCACACAACCACATCCCGTGGCACTGAGGAGAGAAGGAAAGCAACCAAAGTTGTGCGTTGAGATAAAAATTCTTAAGCAAAGGAAAAGTGGAAGAAGAAGGACACACAGCACCATAGAAGCTGCTGTGAAGACAAAGAAGTCCTTCCCAGACAGACTCAGTACAGAAGCGTTGGAAGATTTTGTCACATTTACAAATGGGTAACGCTTAAATCTTGATTCGGGAATGATTTGCTCTATAAAAGATTTTATTGATTCATTTATTTGCTTAGGACTGTTTGCTTATTCCCCCGGTAAGAAGTTAGTCTGGTAGATGGCACTGGACCAGGTTGCCAGAGAAGCTGTGGATGCCCCATCCCTGGAGGTGTTCAAGGCCAGGCTGGGTGGGACTTTGGGCAGCCTGATCGAGAGGGAGATGTCCCTGTCTGTGGCAGGGGGGTTGGAGTTAAATTATCTTTAGGGTCCTTTAGGATTCTGCAATTCTGTGGATGAAATGGCATTAAATACCTGGTTGAGAAGCAGCATCCAACAGCTGCATTATTGAAACCCTTAACTAGGACTCGATGCAGGAAGACATTAAACAAGGGAAGGACTTGGCTGGTTTGATTTTGATGAACAGAAAGGAGAAGTTTTTCCTTCTGCAAGCTGTTGGGTTCTTGCTGTGTGGGTGAAATGCTGTTCCTTCACCACCTCTAGCTTGAATCATTTTTGCAGGTGCGTCTTCCTTATGCAATCCTTTCTTTTTTTTTTTTTTTCTGACCGAACATGGACTCAAGTTGCTGTTGCTGGTGCCCGATTTTCACAGTGCCCTTTGTAAAGCACCCCACCAAAGGCCACCCGAAGTTCCCAGGTACCTGCCGGGGTTGTGGCACCCTGCCTGCCATTCTCCACTCCACCTCCTATTTGCTGCGTGTTCTGATTCTAGACCCACAAAGAAAAAAAAAATGAAGGTCTAATGGCTTAAAAGAAAAACACCGAAGCTACAGGATTACATACAAGAATATCCTCTGTGGGGGGGGAATGCTGGCACAAAAAGGGCTCTCTATGACAAGCAGCTGCAGTTGTGCCAGGTTAAATCCAGACAATGCAAGACTTCACAACCTCGCTGGGCAACCTGTGAGGAATGCTTGGAATGGAAAGCTGAGTATTTCCCTTGGGGGAAACATTGACCCCAAAAAGGCTCTTTGCTCTGTGGAGACGCAATTCTGGGAGGTTAAAACGAGAAAAGTCGCAATGTGACACGCAAAGCTTTGGAGGAAGCCTGCCCGTTACACGGTGACCAACCCTAGAAATAAAAAGTCCTCAAGATCTCTGCTTGGGAGGTCACCGGTAGCTCTTGGGCAATCTCATGGATGGAGAGAGGGAAACACTTGGCTGTACACGACAGCAACTCTAGGAGACGGAGCACGGTTTTATAACCCAGCCACGAAGTCTTTACCTCCTGAAAAAACTTCCTTTCCTGGGTTTTCTAACCCCACTTTTTCAGCTGGCTCCGTTGATCCAGAGAAGAGGCCGTCGTTTTGGAGGAAAATCCTGCTCTTCCAGAGATCTTGGTCATTTATTTTTCTAGGAGAGCTCTTCCTGGAGGTCCCCTTCAAAGGACATCTTTGTTCTCCCTGGGGTTGCTGGACGCATTTTGCAAGTGTCTGAGGGCTGACGTTCAGGGTCAGCTTCACACAGGCCAGAAAATGCAGCAGCTGAGATTTGGTTCCTGACCGTGTGAGTGAAGTCAGCCCATAGCAAAGGGCTTCCAAATTTGGGTTTCCAAATTTAATAATAATAATTAATAATAAATTATTATTATTATTATTATTATTATTATTATTGTTATTATTATTATTATTATATAAAATAATAATAAATATTAATAAAAATAATACTAATAAATACTAATAAATAAATTATTATTATTATTAAATAATAATAATTACTGATAAATAATAATAATAAATTATAATAATAATAAATAATAATAATAAAGATTTCATTGAATTTCGTATTTCCAATCTCAATGGGACTGGAATTTGTTGATTTTCTCGGTGTCGTGGGTTTAATTGGCAAGGTTTTGGTGGCAGGGGGCCATAGGGGTGGTTTCTGTGAGAAAGATCTAGAAGCTGCCCCATGTTTGGGAAGCCCCCCCCCCCTAATTCCCCCCCCCCAAATTGAGGCGGCTCCTCCCCCGCTTTACAATAATAACTTTATTTATTTTAACATCTTTAATTACAGACAGTAAAACCGCCCGGCCTGGGGGGGGGGGACGACACAGCCGGGGGGCACGGCCCCCCCCCCCATTGCTTATCAGGGGGAGCAGCCCCCCTCCGGGGGGGGAGGGAGGCGATCCCAGCAGCCCCCCCCCACCCCAAGTGCCACCCCCCCTCCCCAGCGCAGCCCCCAAACTGGGAGCACTGGGAGGAGGTGGGGGGGGGAGGGGAGGAATAAATACAATCTTCCAATATATTAAAAACGCCCTGGGGGGGGGGAGGAGGGGGTGCGGTGGGGGCAGGGGGGGGTGAGGGGGGGCACCCCTGGGTGCCGCGGGGGGGTCACATCATGCCCAGCTGCAGCAGGGTGTTGGCGTACATCATGGGCTTGACATTGGGGTGAGGCTGGGGGGGGGAAAAAAGGAGAAAAAATGGGGTTGGGGGGCCCAGGGGGGGCACCCCTGAAACTGCCCCCCCCTTCCCCAAATCCCACCCCCTCCTTGCACCCCCCAAAGTCACCCCCAAGCCCCCGACTTCCCCCAAAGCCCCCCCCCATAGCCCCCCACACCCCCCCCCATAGCTCCCTCTAGACCCCCCCACAGCCCCTCAAAGCCCCCCCCATGCCCACAAACCCTCCTGTGCCCCCATTGCCCCCCCCCCCGTTTGCCCCATAGCCTGCTAACGACCCCCACGAGCATCCCCTCCCCCCCCCCCAAAAAAAAAATCACCCCAAGCTGGGAAAAGGAGGGAGAGGGGGGCTGGAAATTTTGGAGGGGGCTGGGGGGATTTGGGGGGAATTTTGGTTACCCGGGGGGGGGGTGTCTCAGATTTGGGGCCCCCCCCCAAAACTCACCACTGCTGTGAACTGGTGGAAGTCGGGGCGCAGGTCGCCGCCTCGCAGGTGGATGTAGGAGCCCATATTGCCCATCTGGTCACTGCGGGGGGGGGACACAGAAATTGGGGGACACCGAGAGGACCCCGCAGAGAGGGGGGCAGCGAGGCCGAGAGGTGCTGGGGGAGGGAGGGGGCACGAAACCCACCCAATCCCCCAAAAAATAGGGACACGAGGACACAGGATGGGGACTCCGCCACCCCCCTGGGCAGCCCATCCCAATCCTAATATCCGTAATCCAGGGGTCCTAATATCCATAATCCGGGGGTCCTAATGTCCATAATCTGAGGGTCCTAATGTCCATAATCTGGGGGTCCTAACATCCATAATCTGGGGGTCCTAATATATGTAATCTGGGGGTCCTAATATCTGTAATCCGGGGCTCCTAACATCCATAATCTGGGGGTCCTAACATCCATAATCCGGGATCCTAACATCCATAATCCGGGGTCCTAACATCCATAATCCGTTTTTTAACCCAATTAAGAAGTCCCAGCCGAGAGCAGCCCCTTTTTTGAGGACAAAACTGCGGGAAACGGTGCCAAAACCCTTCCCGAAACCAACGACTCCACGCCCGCAGCCTTTCCCTCACCCACCCAGCCCCTCGCTATCCCAGGAGGAGCTCGGGGGTCTCCGTGGGTCCCCCCGGAGCTGGAGGGGGGGGTGGCACTGCCCCCCCAGTGCCACTCACCAGTAGTTGGGCGCGGAGAAGACGGTGACACACTTGCCATCGTGGGCCACCTCGTAGCCCTCGGGCTTGACCTCGTGGCTCTGGATGATGTAGTCGAGGCGGTTGCGCTCCAAAAAACTTTTGGTGACGTCCGGCCCGAATTGGCAGCTCACCCCCCTCTTGCTGACCGAGCGCCCGTTCTGGAAAAAGGGGGGGGGGGACGTCACCGTCACGCAACCCCCCCCCCAACAAGGGTTATTTTGGGGGGACCGAGCCCCGAGGTTGTAGGGTGGGGATCGACTCACCTGCGGCTGCGGGTCCGACCACAGCAGGTCGCACATGGGACCTGCAGGGGGGGTGTAGGGTTAGGGACCCCCCCCCCAAAACCCCACAGCGGCTGGGGGGGGGGGGACGACACAGGGGACACCCCCCCGCTAAGCCCCGAGTCCCACCTGAGTCTGGGGGCTGCCGGTTCCTCTCGATTTTGCGGATGTCGTCGAGGGTGACGCCGTCCTCGCTGAAGAGGCCGCCGTGCATGATCTGGGGGGGGGGGGCAGGCAGGTGGGCACAGGGACACCCCCAGACCCAAATGGGGACAGCCCCCCCCCCTGAACCCACACAGGGACACCCCCAGCCCACACGGGGACAGCCCCCTGGATCCAAACGGGGATGACCCAAATGGGGACAGCCCCCAGACCCACGTGGGGATGCCCCCCAGGCCCAAACTGGGATGCCCCCACCCCACACAGGGACAGCCCCCACGGACCCACATGGGGACACCCCCAACCCAAACAGGGACAACCCCCCAGACCCAAATTGGGACACACCTGACCAACAAAAGGGAGGCCCCCGCCCACATGGGGACGGCCAACAGCCCCCGACCCAAACAGGGACACCCCCAACCCAAACGGGGACAACCCAAACAGGGACACCCCCCAGGACCCTGACCCCAACAGGGACATCCCCCAGACCCACATGGGAACAGCCCCCCAGACCCAAACTGGGAAACACCAGACCAACACAGGGGAGGCCCCCAACCCACACAGGGACAGCCCCCCCAGACCCCGACCCCAACAGGGACAACCCCAGACCCACATAGGAACAGCCCCCCCAGCCCCAAATGGGGACAGACCCCCCAAGACCCTACACGGGGACACCCAATGCCCCCCCACCCACACAGGAACAGCCCCCAGGACCCAAATGGGGACAACCCCCAGACCCCAAATGGGGACAGTCTCCCCCAGGACCCTACACGGGGACACCCAATGCCCCCCACCCACACGGGGACAGCCCCCTGGACCCAAATGGGGACAACCCCTGGACCCCAAATGGGGACAGTTTCCCCAGTATTCCACATGGGGACACCCAATGCCCCCCACCCACACAGGGACAGCCCCCCAGACCCAAATGGGGATGACCCCAGGACCCCACACAGGGACACCCAATGCCCCCCCACCCACACGGGAACAGCCCCCTGGACCCAAATGGGAACAGCCCCCCCCCAGGACCTTACACGGGGACACCCAATGCCCCCCACCCACACGGGAACAGCCCCCAGGACCCAAATGGGGACGACCCCCGGGCCCCAAATGGGGACAGCCCCCCAGGACCCCAGACGGGGACACCCAATGTCCCCCCACCCACACGGGAACAACCCCCCAGACCCAAATGGGGACGACCCCCAGACCCCAAATGAGTACAGACCCCCCAGGACCCTACACGGGGACACCCAATGCCCCCCACCCAAACGGGAACAGCCCCCCAGACCCAAATGGGGATGACCCCAGGACCCCAAATGGGGACAGCCCCCCCAGGACCCCACATGGGGACACCCAATGCCCCCCCACCCACACAGGGACAGCCCCCTGGACCCAAATGGGAACAACCCCTGGACCCCAAATGGAGACAGTTTCCCCAGTATTCCACATGGGGACACCCAATGCCCCCCACCCACACAGAGACAGCCCCCCAGACCCAAATGGGGATGACCCCCGGGCCCCAAATGGGGACAGCCCCCCCAGACCCTGACCCCAACAGGGACAACCCCAGACCCACATAGAAACAGCCCCCCCAGCCCCAAATGTGGACAGCCCCCCTAGGACCCTACACGGGGACACCCAATGCCCCCCCACCCACCCGGGGACAGCCCCCCCAGCCCCCCCCGGGGTGACCCACCAGCACTTTGCCGTTGATGCACTGGGCCAGGGGCAGCCACTCAAAGACCTCGCTGAAGAGGGCGAACATCTGCGCCGTGTACTTGGCCTTCACCTCCCCTTCGAAGCCGTAGATCTGGTTCATGTTGTCTGTCTCGTGGTTCCCTGGGGGGACACGAAGCGGGGGGGCCCCCAAAATCAGCCCCGAGGATTGGGGACACGCCAGGCAGCCGGGACAGGGGGCGAGGCGCTGAGGATGTGGGATGGGGGAGCCAGGGGGAGCGAGGCCTCTCGGTGGAGGACGGGGACGTGGGGCAAGGACGAGGCACCGGTGACATCGGCTCAGGGAATCCTGGGGATGGGGCAGCCCCAGGATGACCCCAAAAGGGACACGGGGCATGGCGCTGCGGCAGGGGACGTGTGGCAGCCCTACAACCAAGGACAGGGGACGAGGCCCCAAAACATGGCCCCGAAACCCAGGACAAGGGGCAAGTCCCCAAAACCCAGCCCCACAACCAAGGACGGGGAACGAGTCCCCAAAACCTGGCCCCACAACCCAGGACAAGGGGCAAGTCCCCAAAACCAAGGATGGGAGATGAGTCCCCAAAACCCAGGAGAGGCGATGAGTTCCCAAAACCCAACACCACAACCAAGGACGGGGAACGAGTCCCCAGAACCTGGCCCCAAAACCCAGGACAAGGGGCAAGTCCCCAAAACCCAGCCCCACAACCAAGGATGGGGAACGAGTCCCCAAAACCTGGCCCCAAAACCCAGGACAAGGGGCAAGTCCCCAAAACCCAGCCCCACAACCAAGGATGGGGAACGAGTCCCCAGAACCTGGCCCCACAACCCAGGACAAGGGGCAAGTCCCCAAAACCAAGGATGGGAGATGAGTCCCCAAAACCCAGGAGAGGCGATGAGTTCCCAAAACCCAACACCACAACCAAGGACGGGGAACGAGTCCCCAGAACCTGGCCCCAAAACCCAGGACAAGGGGCAAGTCCCCAAAACCCAGCCCCACAACCAAGGATGGGGAACGAGTCCCCAAAACCTGGCCCCAAAACCCAGGACAAGGGGCAAGTCCCCAAAACCCAGCCCCACAACCAAGGATGGGGAACGAGTCCCCAGAACCTGGCCCCAAAACCCAGGACAAGGGGCAAGTCCCCAACACCCAGCCCCACAACCAAGGACAGGGAACGAGTCCCCAAAACCCAGGACAGGCGACGAGTCCCCAAAACCCATCGCTGCAGCCAAGAGCGGGGCACACAGCCTTGTGGCCCCAGGCATGGGACCCAATCCCAGGATGTGGGGACAAAACCCCACAGCCAGGGCTGCTCAACGTAACCCCACAACCTGCCCCATTACACCCAGCACCCGCGGTGGCCCCGTTACCTCGCAGCAAGTGGAAGTGATCGGGGTAGAGCAGCTTGAAACCGAAAAGCGTGAGGATGACCTCGACCGAGAAGGAGCCGCGGTCCACGAAGTCCCCGTTGAATATCTGCGGGTGGTTCAGGAAAAAAAAAAAAAACTTTTCCCCCCCCCCTTTTTTTTTTTTTCCCCTTTTCCCCACCCCGCCACCCGTCCCCTCGGCCGGGGGGGGATACGTAGGGGTTGGACTCGGAGGGCAGCCCGTTGAGCTCGAAGATGTTCAGCAGGTCGTAGTACTGCCCGTGGGTGTCCCCGCACACCGTCAGCTTCTCCGTCTGCGTTTGGGATCAAACGTCACCACCCAGAGTTTTTTTTTTTTGGGGGGGGGAACCTCCACATGGCCCCCCCATCCCCACAAGGTGGTCCCAGCACCCGGCGAGGGGGGCACCCACCTCCTTCAGCGTCGTTTCTACCAAGGTGGGCAGCTTGGCCAGCACCTCCTTCACCTGCACCAGGATCTGCTGGGGCAAACGGGCAGCGGGGACAGGGGGGACACACAACGGGGGACATGTGGCACTCCGGGGACGGGGTTGTCCCCACCGAGGGGCTTGGGGGGGGGGTTTGGGAGAAGTGGGGCACCTGGTAGGCGCATTTTCTGTGGAGTTTCTTCTGCTCCTTGTACCACTGCATCAGGTCCTTCATGAAAGCCAGCGTGACTTTGCCATCCTCCAGCTTGGGGCCGCTGTACTCGTCCTCGATGGCTGCAAAACGAGGCCCCCCCCCGAAACCCCCCCCGGCAGCTGGTGACACAAGGGGACAACGGGGACAAGTTGGGGTGCTCGCAGGCACCCCAAGGCCCTCCTGAGGACCCCAAAACTCTTCTGGTGACCTTCGCGGGGACTCCGAGACCACCACGGGGACCTCGTGGGTCCCTCAAGACCCTTCAGGACCCCCCCCCTGCAGTTCCTCAAGGTTCTCACTTGTCCTGGTTTCAGTTAGAACAGAATTAATTTTCTTCCTAGTAGCTCGTGGAGTGCTGTGTTTTGGCTTAGGATGAGAAGAGTGCTGATAACACCCCGATGCTTTAATTGTTGCAGAGCAGTGCTTATACTAAGCCAAGGACATCTCAGCCTTTTGCTCTGTCCTGCCAACGGGCAGGCTGGGGGTGCAGTAAGAGCTGGGAGGGGACAGAGCCAGGACAGGTGACCCAAACTAGCCACAGGGGTATTCCATACCATCTGACGTCATGCTAAACAATATATAGGGGTGGCTAGCCGAGGAAAGGGGGCCGGACTGCTCGGGGTTAGGCTGGGCATCGGTCAGCGAGTGGTGAGCAATTGCATTGTGCATCACTTGTTTGTACATACTATTATTACTTTCCTATTATCACCATTGTATCATTATTATTATTGTTGTTATTATTATTTTTGTTATTATTATTTTCCTGTCTTATTAAACTGTCTTTATCTCAACTCACGGGCTTCACTTTCCATTTCTCTCCCCCGTCCCAGAGAGGGAGGGGGGAGGGTGAGCGAACGGCTGCATGGTGTTTAGCTGCCGGCCGGGTTAAACCACGACAGTCTTTTTGGCGCCCAACGTGGGGCTCGAAAGGTTGAGATAATGGCAGATCTGATCAGAGTGCGTTAAACTAAAATTGGTGTAAGGGTTAGACCTGCTTAATAGTCACTTGTCATGATGCTGATTGTTTTAATCTCAACTCTGCTGCGCCTGTTTTCCAAATTGAGTATTATAGTACATTATTTTCCGTATTTGCTCTCTGTAGTGTTGTTTATCCTCTCCGGGCCCTGGTTTCAGGTCATTATGGTACTGAGTGTTATAGCAATGGCTTATGAGACGATGAGATATCTGGTCATGACTCTAACTTGGTATTTATACTCAGTAACATCGTGGACTCTGTACTTTGGAAACAGTATCTTGGGACCTATTAGCAATTATACCTGTTGTTTTTCTCCATTAGAGAGTCAATCTGTGGAGGGGAAAGGGGAAGATATTTTTTCTTACTTGCTTACTCTCCCTTTCTCCTTCACCACCCCTGTATCCTCCTGGATCACTCTGCCTTCCTCCTTCACCACCCTCTTATCCCCTGAGCTTGTCACAATAGCTCTCCAAGATATTGAATATTCTTGGGATACTCAGACCACCATAGTCTTGTTGTTCTGCCTCCTGAATGCACTTCAGATTCTGCTTAAAGTTAAACAATTACTTAGGAAGCTCATTCGGAGACCTGCCCGGAGGCAGTATAGTTGTGGGTGGCAGGGAGTATGGGTGGATATGGGCAGGCATCTAGAGCAGTTGGCACCCCCAGTGTTTTGGAAATTCACCCCTGAACAATGGCAAAATCCTCAAAAACTGGCAGAATGCTTGAAAAAAAGGTGTCATGATTCTGGCAGTTCCAAAGTAACACAAATCATTGTAACGTGCTGGGGCCTGGCTCATGCCTATCGAGCTGCCATTGATACTGCTATCAACTTAGTGACAGACCCTGCGGCCACTCCAAGCCCTGTGACAGATCCAACGGCCACTGTGACCCCTACGGTGGACTCTACAGCCGCTCCAGTCCCAGCTCCTGCAGCTGCTCCAGCCCCAGCTCCTGCAGCCGCTCCAGTCCCAGCTCCTGCAGCCGCTCCAGTTCCAGCTCCTGCAGCCGCTCCAGTCCCAGCTCCTGCAGCCGCTCCAGTTCCAGCTCCTGCAGCCGCTCCAGCCCCAGCTCCTGCAGCTGGCCTCCAGTCCCAGGCTCCTGCAGCCGCTCCAGCTCAGCTCCTGCAGCCGCTCCAGCTCCAGCTCCTGCAGCCACTCCAGTCCCAGCTCCTGCAGTCGCTCCAGCTCCAGCTCCTGCCGCTACTCCAGTCCTAGCTCCTGCAGCCACTCCAGCTCCAGCTCCTGCAGCCGCTCCAGCTCCAGCTCCTGCAGCCGCTCCAGCTCCAGCTCCTGCAGCCACTCCAGTCCCAGCTCCTGCAGTCGCTCCAGCTCCAGCTCCTGCCGCTACTCCAGTCCCAGCTCCTGCAGCCGCTCCAGCTCCAGCTCCTGCAGCCGCTCCAGCTCCAGCTCCTGCAGCCGCTCCAGCTCCAGCTCCTGCAGCCACTCCAGTCCCAGCTCCTGCAGCCGCTCCAGCTCCAGCTCCTGCAGCCGCTCCAGCTCCAGCTCCTGCAGCCACTCCAGTCCCAGCTCCTGCAGCCGCTCCAGCTCCAGCTCCTGCAGCGCTCCAGCTCCAGCTCCTGCAGCCACTCCAGCTCCAGCTCCTGCAGCCGCTCCAGCTCCAGCTCCCTCCAGTCCCAGCTCCTGCAGTCGCTCCAGCTCCAGCTCCTGCAGCTGCTCCAGTCCCAGCTCCTGCAGCCGCTCCAGTTCCAGCTCCTGCAGCCGCTCCAGTCCCAGCTCCTGCCGCTACTCCAGTCCCAGCTCCTGCAGCCGCTCCAGCTCCAGCTCCTGCAGCCGCTCCAGCTCCTGTGGCCGTGTCAGAGAAACGAGCTGTAGCAGTGCAAGTTGACCCTGCAGAGGGTATTCCAACCCCTGTAACGGGGTCAGAGAAACGAGCTGTAGCAGTGCAAGTTGACCCTGCAGAGGGTATTCCAACCTCTGGGGCAGACCCTGTAACAAAGTCAGAGAAACGAGCAGTAGCAGTTCAAGCTGCCCCTGTAGAGAAGGTGAAAAAATGGTATAGAGATTCAGGTCGTTTAGAACGCAGAGAGTCTTCTGCCAATCCAGGTAAGGCTTCTGCCAAAACTAGGTATAGAGATGATGAAGATGACGACGACGCTGGGCCATCAAGGATTCAGGAGGAGGAAGATGAGGATGTCGAAAAAGCAACAGTAACTACCCGAAGCCTAAACGAGCGCGAGCTACGAGATGTGCGAAAAGATTTTGGTCGCTGTATAGGTGAGCAGCTTGTCACCTGGCTGCTCCGGTGCTGGGACTCTGGAGCCAATTGTGTGGAATTAGACGGCAGGGAAGCCAAGAGGCTGGTATCCCTTGCTCGAGACGCCGGCATTGACAAAGCAATTGCAGATGGAGCACAATCCACCAGCCTCTGGAGGCGTCTCCTCTCAGGCTGTGAGGGAAAGGTATCCCTTCAAGGAAGAACTTTTATGTCTACCAGGCAAGTGGACCACTATGGAGAAGGGAATCCAGTACCTGAGGGAATTAGCCGTATGGGAAGTGATTTATGAGGATCCAGACCTCAGACAAACATCCAAAGACCCAGATGAAGTCAGGTGTACACGACCCATGTGGCGGAAGTTTGTACGGAGTGCACCATCATCATATGCCAGCTCATTGGCAATAATGGCCTGGAAAGAGGATGAGGAACCCACAGTGGATGAAGTGGCTAAACAACTCCGGCAGTACGAAGAAAGTCTCTCCTCTTCCTTACAGGCCTGCGTCTCAGCTGTGGAGAAACTTTCTGAAAAGGTTCACCAACTTGAAGAGAATCTATTGTCCTCCCCACCTGAACCAACCAGTGTCCCACCGACCAAAAGAGAACACCTGGGAGAAACTTTCTGAAAAGATTCATCAACTTGAAGAGAGATTATTCTCCTCTGCACCTGTACAAAGCAGTGTCTCAGCTGTCAGGGGCAGGCGTTCACCCACACAAGGAAGACGATATGGTGGGTACTCACCCCGTGCCACCCTGTGGTTTTACTTACAAGACCATGGAGAGGACATGAGAAAATGGGATGGAAAATCTACCGCGACCCTAGAGGCACGGGTACGTGAGTTGCAAAAGAAAACAATCAGGAAAAAAGGGATTCTCCGAAAAGTTTGCTGCTCCAACTTCCAGCAGACAGTCCTTCAAACACAGAAACGAAGAAGATTCTGACCAGGATTAGGGGGGCCCTGCCTCCAGCCAGGGGGAGGAAAGGGACAATCGAGTTTATTGGACTGTGTGGATTCGATGGCCTGGCACGTCACACGCACAGAAGTATAAGGCTTTAGTAGACACCGGTGCACAATGTACTATAATGCCATCGAGCTATAAAGGACCAGAGCCCATCTATATTTGTGGAGTGACAGGGGGATCTCAGCAGTTGACTGTATTGGAGGCTAAAGTGAGTCTGACTGGGAATGAGTGGGAAAAGCACCGCATTGTGACTGGCCCGGATGCTCCATGTATCCTTGGCATAGACTATCTTAGAAGAGGATATTGCAAGGACCCAAAAGGGTTCCGGTGGGCTTTTGGTATAGCTGCCTTAGAGACAGAGGGCATTAAACAATTATCTACCTTGCCTGGTCTCTCAGAGGACCCCTCTGTTGTGGGGTTGCTGAGGGTCGAAGAACAGCAAGTGCCAATCGCTACCACAACTGTGCACCGGCGGCAATATCGCACTAACTGAGACTCCCTGATTCCCATCCATAAGCTAATTCGTCAATTGGAGAGCCAAGGAGTGATCAGCAAGACCCATTCACCTTTCAATAGTCCCATATGGCCAGTGCGAAAGTCTAATGGCGAGTGGAGACTAACAGTGGACTATCGTGGCCTGAACGAAGTCACGCCACCACTGAGTGCTGCAGTGCCGGACATGCTGGAACTTCAGTACGAACTTGAGTCGAAGGCAGCCAAGTGGTACGCCACAATTGATATCGCTAATGCATTTTTCTCCATCCCTCTAGCAGCAGAGTGCAGGCCACAATTTGCCTTCACTTGGAGGAGAGTCCAATATACTTGGAATCAGCTGCCCCAGGGGTGGAAACACAGCCCTACCATTTGCCATGGGCTGATCCAGTCTGCGCTAGAGCAGGGGGAAGCTCCTGAACACCTGCAGTACATCGATGACATTATTGTGTGG